AAAAAAATAAATAATTTAGCTTAATATATAGGGCTAGAAGGCAAAAAGAAAAAATACAAATAATTATTTTCTAATCTAATTCCTGAAAATATCTTCGTTTCAACACCCTAATATAAAAGAAAAACGAACTTAGTGCTTTATATACTAACATTGAAGACCGAAGTTGGTGTTTTTATACATTGATACTAGAAGTTAAAGGAAATATTGTTTATACGTTTTCGACAGGTTGATGTTTTAGCTTAAATCTAAACAATTGACTATATGTGCCCTGTTCATCGCGGAGAAGCGAGCTCCGGATGTTAGTTTTATAAGTCTGTTAACTTACCACTGACCCACCAGAGGGCTTTTTTTAGACAGAGGCTGAGTGTTTATGCTTGGTATTTCAGTTTGGATGAAGTGTTTGTATTCTCGCATCAGATGTTGGGATAATACTGTGATATCCCAACATTAAATCGCTTGCATTTACTCTCATATTACTGGTTTGGTCCACATATTGCATCACATTGAAAGTAGTCACTCGTTTTAAATGTCAAATACAGATGAGACTCCACAGTTAAATAGTGAGATCAATCCTATGTGTCAGATATAAAAGATTGTTTAGTGTAGGTAGTACTATTAGTTAATTTATTTTGTGTTTGTAATAAATTGATGTCGAGGCAAGCGAACGTTGTGTTTGCAATCCATTGATGTCAAAACTAAAAGACCTAAGTACGACTGGTACAGAGTTACATAACGAAATTTGTCACAACTAACATTTTTAAAAGAATTGATCTTCCACACTACTGTCATGAAAATTAAACGATCATTAGATATTAAGTCACAAAATAAACTAATTAATAACACTTACACTAAATCCAACAATAAGCCCCTCTTCAAAAATTAATTAAAATGTTTTTTCACTGTGTACAAAAACTGTTTTTTGTTCATATACTAAGTCTTCTCATATAATCTACACCAACATTTACAGTTCTTTTGTTAGTCTCGCAGGGCATCTGGTAAGACTTCACCTTGACATGATATCTTTTTTCGACTTGATCTCGTATTGCCATTATAATGTCTGTCTTTCGTGATCTATCTGTATACTAGCCTCTTCCTTCTTCTTGCCAGTCAGTTCTTCACTTATATTGACATAATTGTACATCTCACTCCACGCGATGATCTTAGGCCTAGTTGGTCTTTATCTTCTATAATGAAATCACTGTCTTGATATTTTGCTTCTATGACAGCTACACCTGTCATGTCCATTTGTACCTCAATAGCTGCACCCGTAAGGTCTTCTTCCTTCTGGAATTACCTCTTCAATAGATTGGCATGATAGACTTTGGTCTTCCCATCCACTTTCACCTTATAGTGCATTTTGTTGAGAACTTCCTGTAATTCAAATGATCCTTTCCAATGCAGGGTGAGTTTGTTGTTGGCTGTGGGTAGCAGAACTAAGACCTTCTGTACGACCTTGAAACGTTGATCTTTGGCCTATTCTCTAAAGTTGTAGAAGATTCCCGAGTGTAAAAATCAACAATATATGTGTATGTACACGCTAGTATTAGAGTGAGTATTGTTACGTAAAACTGAAATTTTGATAAACTCTCCACACGCCTATAAATATAACCAACGCGACGCGCCAAAAGAGAGTATCTATTATTGGGTTGCTGTAATTGGTGTGCTATACACTTTGCAAGCTATAACTGTGACTAACGCTTATTAATCTGAAACTTCAGATATATTGAGCAGGAACGTTTATAAATTCTGAACATTACAAACCATTCAACTTCCGTGGATTCATCGGACATTAGTACTTTTACGAAAACATTACCTAACATCATCGGCAGGAAAAATCGGCGTGTGATCAATAAAGACCACTGAGCTAGCTAGCTCCCTAATAAGTGAACTGTATCTACATCAACTCGAAGTTAATTTACTCATAGTGAACTCTCGATAAGACATCAAGGAAGTTCCAGACTAGAAAGAAGACTTTGTATTGCTTGTAAGTTTGTAAAACTTTTGTATATAAATAATTTACAATAACAGTTATTACAAACAATGGTATTATTGTTTGTGTATTAAAATTTTTTGTATTAATAAAAGAAAATTGTGTGTATCAATGTTGTTGGTAAAATTCATAAATTGGAGATATATCGACATTTATTTAACTACTAAATTTAAATTATCATTTTGCTCGGTTTCAGACCATTCGAAATAGTAATATATAACACCTGTCATCTGATCATCATATACTGGACTGGATATCACTGCTGCGCTACTGCACCCAGTGTCTCGTAGGACCTTCACTTTCTTGTCCCCAACATAGCCTTCACATATTGGCATGTTCGGAATAGTTAGCATCTCTTGATGTTTGTAACATGCTCCAATCACTACTGGCACTGTTGATGCATTGGCTAACTTCAGCCGACCATTAATCGTACACTGATCAATCATGAAAATGGCTCTTCCTTCTTGTGGTGAATCTGACTTGTTTTCTTGATTCTGTTTCTTCTGGCATCAGCACCTATGGTGACAGTCACTCGTTTCTTGTTTCTTGCCAGCACCATCTTTGTAAATAGTTCCAGCTGCCTTATGTTTAGATTTTTGCTGTTGTTTGGTGGTAATGGACTTGAACTCCTTTGAAATGTGCTCTATTTTATGACAAATATAGTATCTCTTCTCCCTTTTGTCTATTAATCTCTTGTCACCTTTGGTAGACTCCGATTCCTGGTCAGCCATCACTGGTTTCGATTTTAACTGTATATTCTTGGACTTGCCCATTATAATTCATCCATGGGCTTCTATATACTGTTCTGCCAAAATGCATTTATCCAGATAGAATAGTTCGATTACTGTCTGCCCATTGTGATTTTAGTTACGGGATGAAAGGGGGCTGTGAGACTTATAAGTGTAGTGAATGTTGGTATAATTATCCTAAGGTAAAGACGTAGTATTGGATCACCTAGCCTAGAGCCAAGTGCATACAATTTATCATGTTTGTTTTGTTTTGTTTGAATTTCGCGCAAAGCTACACGAGGGCTATCTGCGCTAGCCGTCCCTAATTTAGCAGTGTAAGACTAGAGGGAAGGCAGCTAGTCATCACCACCCACCGCCAACTCTTAGGCTACTCTTTTACCAACGAATAGTGGGATTGACTGTCACATTATAACGCCACCACGGCTGAAAGGGCGAGCATGTTTGGTGGGACGGGGATTCGAACCCGCAACCCGCAGATTGCGAGTCGAGCTCCCTAACTACCTAAATTTATCATGAAAATAAAAATATTGATTCAATTTTATACTTAAGTCATTTCTAATTAAGCTATTTTCTGTTATATAACCAACGTTTTTAATAAAAAGAACAAACCTCTTTAATCAACGGAGACTTAAATTAAGAAATCAACAAATATTTTTTCCAGTTTTTTGTCTGTACATTTCATAGTATACTTTCAGTACGTAGACTAACAACAATACTAGGTTATACTTTGTTGCTAAGTGACATGACATAAAAACCATTGTTGGAACACAGTATTAATAAATTAGCTTTTCTATATATAAGAAATTGTTAATCTAATTTATTTTTACCAATAATTATTCTATGAATACGCCACGAATTCATTTAATGAATGATCTTAATTTTTATTAGCTCAGAAAGGAATTTACTGACGTTTGACTGCCTGGACTGCACTTTGCTGCCTCTTTGTTAGTCAAGCTTGATTTCGCAAAAATTATTTACTTCAATTATTTGTTAAATATGAGGTTAGGGGTAGAGTTGGCAGTAGCCAGTCAATTTTGATGGGCTATGCGTTGGTATACATATATTGTAAAGTCATTTAATTAGCATGTCAGTAATGCTTATCAATTTATCACAATTACTTTTCAGATAACAACAATTAGTTTATAAAATTCTAGAGAAACGTACCTCCGAGCTGGAACTTCACCAAATGCCAGATGTCAAAATAGTTTAAAAATAAATATATTTTAAGGGTCCCTGTCTTATGTGATTCGTATTTGTTGCTATTCATCTAAATGTTTTTGGTTCACCTCTCATTAAAACTCTTGCAGCTGTGCTAATTGGGTTTGCTTCAATAAACCTTAGAAAACAAACCGACCAACCTTTGTTGCAGCTTGAAACCTTGTA